ATGTGGGGGCGTGTTAGAACGAGCCGTTTTAGGTAGGTGTGGCTGACTCTTAACTTTTATAAAGAATATCTCTTTGGATTTGAGACTTTAGTCTTTGTAACTTTACAGATCTTCTTTATGCACCAAGAGCTTGTAACACTCCAAAGTGAAAGGAAAAATTTAAATCGTATCATATGACCCCTTTAACTCCTTTGTGGACTTATCATTCACTTATTTGTATTTCACCATGAACACCACAGCTGTTACTGGTGATGCTCTAGTCAGAGAGTATGTAACCCAACACTGCTCAATTGCACCATCAGGGGATATTAAAATCTAAATGTGTTTCTCACAGTGCTGTATCAGCACGATGACGCCGTACTCGCACGCATACACCCTGAAATGCGTCATCTGTGCTTGTGTTTGTAACACACTGCCCTCAAGTGGCTGTAAGTTTGTGCCACTTTCCATTAAAAAAGCATAAAATAGGGTTGTAAAAAAAGTGTACAGTATGTATATATGTACTATATATCCTCATTTTGTCTCTCATAGTTGAGGTATACCTATGATGAAAATTACAGGCCTCTCTCATCTTTTTAAGTGGGAGAACTTGCACAATTGGTGGCTGACTAAATACTTTTTTGCCCCACTGTAAGACTAATAACTTCTTCAACTTTTTAGGCTTGGTTCATTTACTATGCTTTTACTCTATAATTTACTCTAATATACTTTAAGAAGTCTATTAGAATATCAGTGTATTTTGTATAATTGTAAAGTGCCTTTGATTACATTTAATTTACATCTCTTCCCCTCTCTCTCAGTGCTGGGGATGAGAGTCCAGTGGCCCTGGCCATAGTCCAGGCTTCCAGCAGAGACTGTGGAGTATATGGCTGCTCAATCAAGAATGAATATGGGACTGACATCACAGATTACTTACTCAGCGCAGACAGTAATTTATAACTCATTGGTCCATTAATAAACAGAAATCTGCTAATGTATTATTTATTATGTTCACTTTGACATTGTTTCTTTTTTTGGGCAGTCCTGGCAGAATTTTTCTTAAGGGAAGATTTAGAAGGTAAGACTTCTGGGCTAAATCGAGTGTGTTCATTGCTACAAATTACACACGATTTTTGCTGTTTACCTACATTGGATTTTCTGTGCTGTATTTCTGTCTTCTCAGTTGGAGAAGAGATTGAGATGACACCAATGATGTTCACCAAAGGCCTGGCAGACTCGGGTTACTGGGGTCATAAATTCTTTGGTCGCATCATGACGGCAGAGGTTCAGATTGGAGAAGGATGCGTACACAAGACCTGCAGGGCAAAGGTCATCTATGGTTTGGACCCTATCTTTGAGTCAGGCAGCACATGCATCACTAAAGTAAGAAATCCCATCGCATATGGGGCCAAGGAGGAGAGCAACCTGGCTGAGAGAAATCTAGAGATCACCAAACAGGTTAGAGTCTTAGTGGATCACAATTTACATTATATTCAATTGATACTGACACAGCAAAAACTATAAAAAGAAAACATTGGGGAAAGTGGTTATTTATACTGCTAAGCTCCAAAAAAGACCATAGATGTATCATGAAAGTGGTCAGAACGATGGTGGTCAAGTTCTAAATTCTTGTTTTAAAAATGTGTATTTTTTAATCTTGTACATTACATGACTGATCATGATGTGGCGAAACCAGTGAGATTATATTTCAATTGTGAAGAATATTTGAAATATTCAATCATTAGCACACAATCATACCTCCATTTTTTGATACTTTTGTTTTTTATGGTCTTTTTGGAGCTTGTATTATAATTGTATGGACAAAAAAGCAGCTCATTTTTTACCACAGAGATTTTCAGTATAGATATTTTTCGAGTTACTTTTTTTTCTTCTTATCCTCAGGACTGTAAAATCCAAAATACCGTTCGGGAGTACTGCAAAATATTTGCAGCTGAGGCCAGAGTGATTGAAAACTTTGGATTCTCATTAGAGTAGGTCTATGAAGTAATATTGACTAAAAGACATTTCTATGCAATGTATGTGGCTACAAATAAGAGATTATGTCAAAATGATCTAATTTCAGACTTCTTTGCTTCTCTAAATAAATTCAGAGTCATCCCCCTTCACCTGATGTATCGACCTGCCAATACAATTCCATATGCTACAGTAGAGACTGATCTGAATGGTGTGTATGAGAAGTACTGTCTGACGGACAGCACAGGAGGACTGATCGCCAGAGCCACCTCTGAGGTGGAGCAGAAGTGTTGCACTTTCCAGCATTGGATCCATCAATGGACCAATGGAAACCTCCTGGTTACCCGGTTAGAAGGTAAAGAGATATTTACTTGTACTTTTGAGTAAGTTGCTAAGTACTACATTTTAAAATATTCCTAAATATATATAAATACAATAGTATAAAATAAACTTGTGTGTGTTTCAGGTGTCGATTCAAAGATTACAAGCATTGAAATTGTTACTAAGTCTAAAGGGTTGGTACATTTTACTATGAGATTATATTGTTTAACCATTTTTCTGATATTTCCACTTCTTCTTCAGTTTTTTTTTTCTTGCAGAGACTAATATTTTTATGTCTGCTGCAGGTATCAAGGCCTCACAGATAAAGGATCTCCAAAGATAATCGAGCAGTTCATTACTCAACATCAATGTAATTACTACTGTGGACTTTTCGGCCTAAGACCCTTAAAGCCAATGGAATCTCTACAACAGCCTAAAATAAAGACCTCCAAGAGCCCTCTATTGGCCAAGAGGGGCGTAACAGGCTCATCCAGCCCTCAGCTTCAGAAGAAAGGAACCAGCCCACAGTCCACCAGGAAAGGCACGTCTAGCCCCAAAGTGGTTAAAAAGACAGGTGAAGCTGGGGAGAGCAATTCCACCACCAAACACAAAGCTGTGGAGGTCCCAAAAACTGTCAGGATGAGGTAGAAAGAAGGACTAGAGCTCTTGGAAACAACTTGCAAAGCAACTACAGCATACTTTTTTTGATTTTCTTACCAAACTTTAGTTTGGAGCCTGTGTAATTATCTATAGTTACTGTTGTACAGGACAAATGGCTTCCAGTAAATGGATTCTGCCAGTTGACTTTGCACATAGTGTCTAAAATGCTACAAATAAGGAAGAAATGTCTATATAGAAACAAGGAGAGTAAAAGGGTGAATGACCAGAGGTGTCTGGCCATTTTTAATATTACTGTGAACTGCTTTGCGGCTATAAGTCACCATTCAATACCTCCGGAGAGAACCTTCATTTTATTTTTAAGAGCTGAATTGAGGCAATCCCCTTTTTAAGACTAAAGAAAAAAAATACTAAACCTGGCTGCCTGTAGACAGATGAACAATGTTTTCAGATAGACTCTGGAACTTTATGATTTATTCAAATGTTCCTATGTCAAGTTTATATGACTGAGGAACCGTGAGAGAGGGACTCTTCAAGGGTTCCTCAAACATCTGTGATGTACGTGTCTCAGCTGTGTAGAAATGCAGCTTTTTTCCGTAGCGGTCGCTGAGGTGCTTTTTATGGTGAATTGTTCTGCTTTTAAGGAAATGGCCGTTAATCTGCAACACCAGTGCACCGATATTGGTTGTATATGTGCAAAGTATTAGTGTCATAATCAATGCAGTTGTGTTTTCATCTTAAATGTGTCTCCTAGAAGAGGGAAAATCATGTGCTTTATTGTCACAGTAAAGCCATTTACTACTGACCTTTCGAACTGTTCATGCGTCATCTATCTCTGGAACCCTCCAACTTCACACAAATGGACTATATATACAGTATAGATTATACTAACATTAAAAAGTTTGGGGTCAGATATTTATAGTTTTATTCAGCAAAGATACATTAAATTGACCAAGAGTGACAGTAAAGGCATTTCTAATGTTACAAAAGATAATGCTGTACTTCTGAACTTTCTATTTATCAAAGAATTCTGATAAAAATGACCACAGTTTACACAAAAATATTAAGCAGCACAAAATGAAAATTCAGCTTTGCCATCATAGGAATACATTTTAAAATATATTAAAATATAAAACAGCTATTTTGACCATTTCTTTCACCATATTACTGTTTTTTTACTGTATTTTTGATTAAATAAAGCCTTTGTGAGCATAAGAGACTACTTTCAAAACATTCAGAAATCTGACTTACCCCAAACGTTTGAATGCTCAATGTTTACAGGTTTTGATATTTTGAAATGTATGTTCATTGAAAATAACCTAAATAAATAAATAAATGTAACGATCTAAACATTTTACCCCATTCACAAGATTTAGTAACCATTATTTAGCAAAAAAAGGCTCATGCTAAACTAACTCATAAAATATCCATGGAGTACTTGTTTAGATGTGTATGAAAGGTTACCACAGATAGTGGTCAGACATGATAAGATAGGGCATACTAAGGTCTGTGTAGTGGTATTTATTATAAAAACTATATGGATTGTAGTGTAGATTAGAGAGAGAAGATTAGTGGTATACAGTATGTTCATAGGATGAGCATTTTAGTTTTTTTTGTTGTGTTGTGTTACATTTTTTTTGTAAAATAAATGTGTAAATAGCAGCAGAAACTTCTTTGACTCATTTTACCATCCAAAGGCAGATTGCTTCATATCTTAAAAACTGCTTGCCTCACCAAAGAGCCCTTTGGCCCTTATTGGTTATGCTTTACTCCTGTAATGTAATATTTTCACAGCAATTCCAGCATAAATGTCAGAATGAAACACTGCAGAGCACAATGTCTTGATATCAATCACGTCAATGGATGTAAATTACAAAAATTATTATAAACTTTACATAAGACAGAACAACACCAATTGAATTAAATTTACAGCATTTACAGAACATAAAAATACTTGCACATGCATTGTGCTAACACACTGTTACATCTATAAAGAAATTATGTATGAATGACCAAATAAAATATGCCAAATCAAACCAAATATGACCAAATAAAATCAAACATACTCTGCACATACATACTTAACATTCATTTCAAAATGTGTGAATTTAATAAATAATTTAGTTCAGAGGTGTTTTCTGCATTGTTGTATCGTTACTTATTGGACAAACTACAGGCAAGCGGGTTCCTGATAGAGACCACAACAGTTTGCAAAATAAATTGTTGCATTTTTCACTTCACTCCAGGACCCCTCGAAAGAAATTGTTCCATTGTTGATAGTGCTGCAAACAAACAAACATTTTTATATTGATGCAGTCTAAATAAATATTTCCCAGATTAAAGGAACAGTTCACCCAAAACTAAAAAAAATTACTGAAAATGTACTCATCCTTAGGCAATGGATCCTCTGCTGTGAATGGGTGCCGTCAGAAAGAGTACTGCACATGCAGCCCATAAAAAAAACATCACAATAATCTGCAAGTAATCCACAGGACTCCAGTCCAAAATCCAACAACAACATATTTGTTTAGAACTGTTTTCGCTTGTAAACAGTGCTTGATCTGTGCATATTTCTCTCCTGAATAAAACAATACAACTTTTTCACTGAGGAAAGCAATATTATGATAGAGGACTCGTATTTTAGTTTGAAGCAACAGTTTAAAGTTAAAATGCCTTGATGTGATTTGTTATCACAGCTTTTCACTTCTGATGTTAATAGATGGACTGGAGTCATGTTGATTACTTGTGGATTATTGTGATGTTTTTATCAGTTTGGACTCTCATTCTGATGGCACCCATTCACTGCAAAGGATCCAAGGGATGGGATGCTAAAATTTCTCCAAATCTGTTCTGACGAAGAAGCAAACTCATCTACATCTTGGATGGCCTAAGGATGAGTATATTTTCAGGAAAATGTTCATTTTGGGGTAAACTAATCCTTTAAATATTTCAATACAGAGTGCTTTCAGATCACTACAATCAATGCAAACATATTCTCTTTCCTTACCTTTTGAAAAGATCATAACAGCAAGTTTCAATGTTAGGTATAGTGGTATTGAAGTCTGCATTTCGAAACAGATCCACACAGTCCAACGGAGGAACGAAAAGTATACCTACAGGCAGAACAATGCTAAACTTAACTCAATATAAGATTGTATTAATCAAAACCACCAGATGGGGGGCTGTGGCATATTGGTTCATCTGTACTGGTTACTCATATTAGGTTAAAGGTTTGAACCTGGCAAGGGGCAATTCATAACCATCACTGTTCTGTTTTAGAGCAATGCTTCATAGAGACTATCCATTTAATGTGTAATGTAAGCTGCTTAGAACAAAAATGTCTGCTAAATTAACCTAATAGTGTGTGGTGATAAAGCTGTGGTGTTGATAAAAAAGTTAAAACAGATTTATTTTAATAATTACAGATTGCTTACCAGCAACACAGGCATTGATCAGGGAGACACATGTGCCTGTGAACAAGGCTCTGAGCACTAAAGTAGATATGACACTCTTCTTTGGTGGACAAATAGAGGCTATGAAGTAATAATAATAAAAAGCAAATCAGTAAATGATTTGTTACAAATATTGGTGATACTGAACTATGGTGATAAGAAGTCATAAGGCACATTATTAGCACTAAAATCATTAAAGCACACGTCATACAAGTGCTTTGAATAGATACTCACACAGGCCTCCAATCACAATACCAAGAGAGCTGAAATTAGCAAAGCCACACAGTGCATAGGTGCAGATGATTTCTGATCGAATCTGCAAGTAGTTTGGAGAACATACTTTTCAGATTATGCATTTGACTATTTATTATGTTTATTACCTGTGCATTTATACACTGTTTGATGAGCCATTACATAAATACTTACTGAGAGCCTATTTTTATCTACACCATCTTCTAAAATGCCATTAAGTCTGTTGTTTTTGAGCACTGACAGCTTCTCATAGGCTATAAACTCATTGAGGAAGAGTTTTGTGCCAATAAGTTCAGCCACTGTAAAAGACTCCTCGTATGGAATTCCCATCATGAAGGCCACCGGCATAAACACATAGGAGCAGATTAACTGAGGAGGTAATAACTCTTTTAAAACACTTTTGAATATAAAAATATGAAGGATGATGATGTGTTTTGATGTAACATGTAAGTACATTACCATTCAAAGGTTTGAGGCAGTAAGTTTTTATTTATTTATTTTTTGAAGAAATTTATATTTTTATAGAGCAAGTATGCGTTAATTTAAACAAAAGTGACAGTGAAAGCATTTATGATGTTACAAAATATTTCTATTTCAAATAAATGCTGTTCTTTTGAGCTTTCTATTTATCAAAGGATCCTGAAGTAATGTATTACGAATTCCACAAAAACAGAAATGTTTTGTGAAGACTGAAGTAATGGCTGCTGAAAATGCAGTTTTGCCATCACATGAATAAATCACTTTAAAATAAATTCAAATAGAAAACAGTTATTTTAAATTGTAATAATATTTCAGAAAATTACAGTTTTTACTCTATTTTTGATCAAATATATGCAGCCCTATACTAAGCACAAGAGAAAAAAAAACAATAAAAAGTCTTACGGACCCCAAACTTTTTTGAACTGTAATACACACACACACATACATTTACCAAAAAAGCCACACAGGATTGGGTAATACACACCTCAAAAGTGACATCTGGGAATCCCACCATGCCTCCCAACCATCTCAGAGTAGCATTTATAAAGTCCAAAATGGCAAGGAAAGCAATCAAGTTAGCAGCGATGTTGGTCACAAGTCCTATTGATGCAGATGCGCCACCGCTGACAGCTTCCAAGACATTCTGTTCACCACTGAACACACACACACAAAACATTTTAACATGCAACATACAATATTTAGAAACCTAAAGTTCATATTCAACAGGAGAACCCACCCGCCATCAACTTTAATCTGACTCTTAGATGTGAACTTGCTCTTTTCAGTTTCAGGGTAGGACAATTTGGAGATGGCTAAAGCACATGGAGCAGCCATCACTGATGCAGAAATCAGAGACGAGGCATCAATCTGTGTAGAGGAGATTTATCATGCCTTAGAGAAATGAACAAACTGCAAACTAAAGAACTAAACATTCCAGCTTTCCATGGAAGAATTTTATAATAAAAAGAAGTACATGTTGTCGTACCCCAAATGAGATGAATGCACCCATAACACTTCCTGCAATGGTGGCAAATCCTCCAGTCATGACAGCGTGAATCTCAGATTTGGTCATGTCCTTTAAATAAGGACGAATCAAGAGCGGTGCCTCTGTCTGGGGGAAAAAAAATCAAAACATTATGACAGTAATGAGCTACAATCAATAATGCTATAATGCTTTGTTGTGTAAAAGGAGCTTCTCCTTCAAGAAACTGATGCACATATAAATTTGTCAAGAAATGCTTTAAGACTAATTTGAGAAATTTGATTTTTTTAATAATTACGTACATTATAGGAATGATGACAGAATATTACCTGACCAACAAATATGTTCCCTGCCACACTGAGAGTCTCTGTAGAGGAGGTTCCCATTGTTACCTGCATTACCCAGGAAATCTTGGCATAGAAAAATACTTTATTAATATATATGAAGAACATATCTTGAAAGTCTCATAGGTTAAATGAATACAAGACTGGATGTTTCACTTTTACCTTTGTGATGACCCACTGCATGACACCCAGGTAGTACAGCACTGACATTACACTGCTGAAGAACACCACTATAGGCAGAGCCTGTGAGTATTGAGCAACATTCAATAGTAAAAATAAACCCATCCATGCATTTCATGTCAAGTATGTGCCATTACTAACCTGGAAAGCAAATATGTTGTCAATGAGGTTTCCAAACACAAATGATGAACCAGCTTTTGTGTAGTCCAGAAATATCTAAAAAAAAAAAAAAAGAAAGAAAGACATATTTTTATCTACACCATCTTCTAAAATGCCATTAAGTCTGTTGTTTTTGAGCACTGACAGCTTCTCATAGGCTATAAACTCATTGAGGAAGAGTTTTGTGCCAATAAGTTCAGCCACTGTAAAAGACTCCTCGTATGGAATTCCCATCATGAAGGCCACCGGCATAAACACATAGGAGCAGATTAACTGAGGAGGTAATAACTCTTTTAAAACACTTTTGAATATAAAAATATGAAGGATGATGATGTGTTTTGATGTAACATGTAAGTACATTACCATTCAAAGGTTTGAGGCAGTAAGTTTTTATTTATTTATTTTTTGAAGAAATTTATATTTTTATAGAGCAAGTATGCGTTAATTTAAACAAAAGTGACAGTGAAAGCATTTATGATGTTACAAAATATTTCTATTTCAAATAAATGCTGTTCTTTTGAGCTTTCTATTTATCAAAGGATCCTGAAGTAATGTATTACGAATTCCACAAAAACAGAAATGTTTTGTGAAGACTGAAGTAATGGCTGCTGAAAATGCAGTTTTGCCATCACATGAATAAATCACTTTAAAATAAATTCAAATAGAAAACAGTTATTTTAAATTGTAATAATATTTCAGAAAATTACAGTTTTTACTCTATTTTTGATCAAATATATGCAGCCCTATACTAAGCACAAGAGAAAAAAAACAATAAAAAGTCTTACTGACCCCAAACTTTTTTGAACTGTAATACACACACATACATTTACCAAAAAAGCCACACAGGATTGGGTAATACACACCTCAAAAGTGACATCTGGGAATCCCACCATGCCTCCCAACCATCTCAGAGTAGCATTTATAAAGTCCAAAATGGCAAGGAAAGCAATCAAGTTAGCAGCGATGTTGGTCACAAGTCCTATTGATGCAGATGCGCCACCGCTGACAGCTTCCAAGACATTCTGTTCACCACTGAACACACACACACAAAACATTTTAACATGCAACATACAATATTTAGAAACCTAAAGTTCATATTCAACAGGAGAACCCACCCGCCATCAACTTTAATCTGACTCTTAGATGTGAACTTGCTCTTTTCAGTTTCAGGGTAGGACAATTTGGAGATGGCTAAAGCACATGGAGCAGCCATCACTGATGCAGAAATCAGAGACGAGGCATCAATCTGTGTAGAGGAGATTTATCATGCCTTAGAGAAATGAACAAACTGCAAACTAAAGAACTAAACATTCCAGCTTTCCATGGAAGAATTTTATAATAAAAAGAAGTACATGTTGTCGTACCCCAAATGAGATGAATGCACCCATAACACTTCCTGCAATGGTGGCAAATCCTCCAGTCATGACAGCGTGAATCTCAGATTTATTTTTATCTACACCATCTTCTAAAATGCCATTAAGTCTGTTGTTTTTGAGCACTGACAGCTTCTCATAGGCTATAAACTCATTGAGGAAGAGTTTTGTGCCAATAAGTTCAGCCACTGTAAAAGACTCCTCGTATGGAATTCCCATCATGAAGGCCACCGGCATAAACACATAGGAGCAGATTAACTGAGGAGGTAATAACTCTTTTAAAACACTTTTGAATATAAAAATATGAAGGATGATGATGTGTTTTGATGTAACATGTAAGTACATTACCATTCAAAGGTTTGAGGCAGTAAGTTTTTATTTATTTATTTTTTGAAGAAATTTATATTTTTATAGAGCAAGTATGCGTTAATTTAAACAAAAGTGACAGTGAAAGCATTTATGATGTTACAAAATATTTCTATTTCAAATAAATGCTGTTCTTTTGAGCTTTCTATTTATCAAAGGATCCTGAAGTAATGTATTACGAATTCCACAAAAACAGAAATGTTTTGTGAAGACTGAAGTAATGGCTGCTGAAAATGCAGTTTTGCCATCACATGAATAAATCACTTTAAAATAAATTCAAATAGAAAACAGTTATTTTAAATTGTAATAATATTTCAGAAAATTACAGTTTTTACTCTATTTTTGATCAAATATATGCAGCCCTATACTAAGCACAAGAGAAAAAAAAACAATAAAAAGTCTTACGGACCCCAAACTTTTTTGAACTGTAATACACACACACACATACATTTACCAAAAAAGCCACACAGGATTGGGTAATACACACCTCAAAGGTGACATCTGGGAATCCCACCATGCCTCCCAACCATCTCAGAGTAGCATTTATAAAGTCCAAAATGGCAAGGAAAGCAATCAAGTTAGCAGCGATGTTGGTCACAAGTCCTATTGATGCAGATGCGCCACCGCTGACAGCTTCCAAGACATTCTGTTCACCACTGAACACACACACACAAAACATTTTAACATGCAACATACAATATTTAGAAACCTAAAGTTCATATTCAACAGGAGAACCCACCCGCCATCAACTTTAATCTGACTCTTAGATGTGAACTTGCTCTTTTCAGTTTCAGGGTAGGACAATTTGGAGATGGCTAAAGCACATGGAGCAGCCATCACTGATGCAGAAATCAGAGACGAGGCATCAATCTGTGTAGAGGAGATTTATCATGCCTTAGAGAAATGAACAAACTGCAAACTAAAGAACTAAACATTCCAGCTTTCCATGGAAGAATTTTATAATAAAAAGAAGTACATGTTGTCGTACCCCAAATGAGATGAATGCACCCATAACACTTCCTGCAATGGTGGCAAATCCTCCAGTCATGACAGCGTGAATCTCAGATTTGGTCATGTCCTTTAAATAAGGACGAATCAAGAGCGGTGCCTCTGTCTGGGGGAAAAAAAATCAAAACATTATGACAGTAATGAGTTACAATCAATAATGCTATAATGCTTTGTTGTGTAAAAGGAGCTTCTCCTTCAAGAAACTGATGCACATATAAATTTGTCAAGAAATGCTTTAAGACTAATTTGAGAAATTTGATTTTTTTAATAATTACGTACATTATAGGAATGATGACAGAATATTACCTGACCAACAAATATGTTCCCTGCCACACTGAGAGTCTCTGTAGAGGAGGTTCCCATTGTTACCTGCATTACCCAGGAAATCTTGGCATAGAAAAATACTTTATTAATATATATGAAGAACATATCTTGAAAGTCTCATAGGTTAAATGAATACAAGACTGGATGTTTCACTTTTACCTTTGTGATGACCCACTGCATGACACCCAGGTAGTACAGCACTGACATTACACTGCTGAAGAACACCACTATAGGCAGAGCCTGTGAGTATTGAGCAACATTCAATAGTAAAAATAAACCCATCCATGCATTTCATGTCAAGTATGTGCCATTACTAACCTGGAAAGCAAATATGTTGTCAATGAGGTTTCCAAACACAAATGATGAACCAGCTTTTGTGTAGTCCAGAAATATCTAAAAAAAAAAAGAAGAAAGAAAGACATGATTTAGAACATGGACAAAAATATGGATTTAGAACATGGCAGCCATATCAAATTCTGTTTTTCTTTCTCTCCTGCAGTTTAAATAATCAATCATTATTGTTTTGTTGTAATAAGTTACCACAGATTGTAACAAATTAACTTCATTTAGAGAGATATCTTTCAAGGTATGCTGGACATTATATTAGTTTACACAATACAGAGGTGTTCAAATGTCTGTGAAAATGCTCCTGTTTTGCATTTTTCTAATTTAATAAAAATCATAATAATGGTGTTTTATATTATACCTGAACTTGCTTTCCAAGCCATTCGAATGCTACAAGACCAGGCTCTGTCCTAATGACAAACAGGCCAATGGCAAACTGTAAACCGAGGCCCCAGAAGACTGTCCTCCAGCTCACCTAATCAGAATTCAATGCAAACAACATTTTTGTTAACAACCACACTAATTTAAACAATGTTCCTTTAGCATCTACAACGTCTAGCATCTCATTCTTGGGAAATTATAGGTGTATCCTCAACAATCTGATAAGGTTTGTAGGAAATCCAAAGTCTAAAAAATACATTTTGAGATAAGCACGTTCAATAAAGCATGTGTGCAGGAATGTGTGTTTTATTACTCACTGCGGTTCTGTGTGCAGAGAAGAGAAATATGGCAATAATGAACAGACAGACACCACCAAAAGAGATGAGCTGCTCTGGGCGCTTTCGTGTGTCGATTGCCAGCCATGCCACCAGCAGTCCCACCACAATTACTATGAACACCCTGCAACATACAGAGATACATTGACAGGGTTGTGGACTTACTTCTGGCCACTAGAGGCCCCCACTGCCTTTTTGTTGGGTTTCAGTCTCTGTCATTATGTCTAATTGTTGTTACCTGTGCCTTGTTTCTGACTGTGTATTTAAGCCACCCTTCTCCTGAGTACTTTGCTCCGTGTTTCCCATGCCATGACCAAGTCTAGGTCAGTCTCATGCTCTGCTTAATGGATTTATCCTTAAACAACTTTGTGCATCTGGTATACCGTAAAACTTCAAATAATAGCCGAGTCCCAAATAGACGCCTGTCTCTTTTAAACGCCTGGTGTGACGACAGGTTTGGGTAAATAAAGGCCGGTCTCAAATAGAGGCCTGGTCTGTTTTTTTAGTATCGGGTTGTATTTGATCTTCTCAAACCCATCAGATCGTCTGTTCTATGTTTTGATTAGATTTCACGTGACAGACACAACAACAGTTCATGAACGACTCATCACTATGGCAACATAACAAAGAGGTTAACGAACTTTCTTTTAGTCTTCAGTTTTTCTTAATTCTCTCAATACCACCATGGAGACAAAAAGAAAAAAGTATGATTTGACATTTAAGCTGACAGTTGTCAAATTTGCCGAACAAAATTCGGGAGAAGCAGCGGCAAGACATTTCTCGGTTGATCCAAAGAGAGTGCGAGAATGGCGTAAAAATAAAGCTGAACTGCAACGTCTGTCCGAGGAAGACGACAAAAGGGCCAGACTGCGAGGTGGAGGGAGGAAGAAGGCCAGTGAAGAGCTGGAGGTGAGCGTGTGTGAGTGGATCCACAGCATGCGGGCAAAGCATCTCAGAGTCTCACGTAAAATGATCAGGGCCAAGGCAAAAGAAGTGTATGCAACAGTGAGTGACGGCAGGGATGAGGAGAGTTTTACTGCGAGCGCTGGCTGGCTGGACAAATTCCTGAGGCGCAACGACTTTTCAGTCAGAAGACGCACAACTGTGGCCCAGAAAGACGCCAAGCACTTCACTGAGAAACTCAGAAATGCGGATTATTAAGGCAAATAAAATACAGCCGAAAAACATTATAGCCATGGACGAAACAGCGGTGTGGTTTGATATGGTGGGCTCTACAACGGTGGATGCAAGAGGTGCACGCAGTGTTCCACTGAAAACCACAGGCCATGAGAAGAGCCACTTAACTGTGGTGTTGGCTGCGAAAGCAGACGGGACCAAATTGAAACCTTACATTGTCTTCAAAGGGGGGATCAAGGAGGTGAAATTAATGCAAAATATCAGTGGGGTGGTGGTGGCCACGTCCAAAAATGGATGGATGAACGAGGAGCTGACTGCAGACTGGCTTCAGAGAGTGGTGGGAAAGCTCAACTTCGCCCCTCGTCTCCTAGCCTGGGATTCATATCGCTGTCATATCAGCGCAGCGACCAAAGCTGAGCTCAAAAGGGGCTACAACATAACCACGGCTGTGATACCCGGTGGCTGTACAAAGTACATACAGGCCCCTGACGTCGTATGGAACCAACCATTCAAAGCCAGCCTGCACGAGTCCTATGACAACTGGATGGCAGGGGATGTGGACAAAGAGTACACAGCTGGAGGAAATATGAGGGCCCCAGCTCGTCGCTTGTTGGTTTCCTGGGTACTTCAAGCGTGGGAAAAGCTGGATACGGAGCGGCTGAAAAATGTGCGCGCACGTGTGTGTGTGTGAGGGAGAAAGAGGAGATAATATATTTCATTAACTTCGGGATGTTATCCTTAGGTATGTGGCCTGACAGTAGCTTCTGATGGAAGTGAGGATCACCTTATCCATTGTTTCAAAGAGGGAGAGCCGTGCGCATCTGGGCGAGAGCTGTTAGTGCAAGCAAGGCAGGCAGAGTTAGCGGAGGCTGGAGAGGGAGAAGTGGAGGAGAGCGACGTGGAGGAGGAATTCGCCAATGAACTTGTAATTGAGGATCGCGGGGATGATGATAGTGATGAATAGAGTAATTTTCTATCACATGATTGCAGTTGTTTTACAGGGTAGCCTTCATTCTTTCTTGTTGATATGTTTCGGGCAACAAGTTCATATGCTCGATGGATTTTAGCGGTTACTTATATTGTTCTGCCCATTGCTGTCACATCGTTTCGTTTTGTATGCTGCCAATAATCTAAGACATTTCTTACACTAAATTATTTGTTAAACACATTCGTTTAGGGGTAACTTGTATTGTTCTGCCCATTGCTGTCACATCGTTTCGTTTTGTATGCTGCCAATAATCTAAGACATTTCTTCGCAGGTTTTTTTTTTTATGCTGTCAATAGCCAAAGACATTTCTTACATTAAATGATTTGTTAAACACATTCAAATTAATTATAAATAAAACGTAATATAATGTGGTAACCTCCTACTGTCATGCTTGAACATCTCAACACTAAATTAAAGGCCTGTCTCTTATAGACGCCTGTCTCAAATACAAGCCGGTGCAGTTCGGCGATTTGGGTAAATAGAAGCCCGGGCTATTATTTGAAGTTTTACGGGTAGTTTCTTTTTGTTTTGTTTTTTTATGTGCTCATTGAAACTGTTTGGAGTAACTCGCAGATTTTCTTTGTGAACTTTTTAAATGCCTTATGGATTTACTTTGTGGACCTATGGGAATTACCTTTTGGAAGCATTGACGTTTCTTTTGTTTTTGAATGGATTCCTGTGAACTTTTTGTATGCCTTCTAGATTAACTTTGTGGACCTATGGTAATTACTTTTTGGAAGCATTGACATTTCTTTTGTTTTTAAATGGACTCCTGAGAACATTTTGAATGCCTTCTGGATTAACTTTGTGGACTCTTGGGATTTACTTTTAGAAAATGTTGTCAAACCTTTTTGCACTATTGGAACATTTTGAGCTGACTTTCTGGATTTATCTTGTGTAGTTTTTGGACTTGCATTTTCATCAAATTAAAGATCTGAAAACATTCCCTCAGAACTGTGATCTGGTTATCTGCATTTGGGTCCACCTCTTTTGATTGTTTTCATACTAGTCCTGTCCACACATTTCTGACAGAAACACTGAGCCAGACATAGACCCAGCAGATCCGTACCATGCCCAGGACCTTCGTGGGGCAGTTGCTCATCAGGAGGCCGCCTTAGCCCAACATGAGGCCTTTGGGCCATGGAGAAATCATTCACCAAACACTTCCACTACGTCTCTCCATTCTTCAACACCAAGAGTAGATATCTTTCCATTTCATCCAGTCTCCTGCATTCCCTGTAATCTTGGGCTTCCTGTGGCTTCTCCTCAACCTCTCTCGAGTGCCCCCGTGTATCATCCTTACAAGGAGGTCACCACATTACCACTTCATCGGCCATATGATTGTGCCATCTATCTGCTTCCAGGCAATATTCCCCCAAGAGGCCATATTTTTTCATTGTCTCCTCCAGAGCGGGCAGCAATCACCAGTTATATTGAGAAAGCCCTCGCTACAGGGTTCATCCAGGCCTCAACCTCCCCTGCTGGGGCGGGGGGTTTCTTAGTGGGCAAAAAAATGGTGGCCTTCGCCCATGCATTTATTACAGAGGCCTAAACAAAAATCACAGTTCGAAACCGCTACCCTCTACCCCTCACGTCCTCTGTCTTTGAGTTGCTTCAAGGAGCCTCAATTTTTACCAAACTTGACCTCTGCAACGCAAATCATCTGGTGCACATAAGGCAAGGGGATGAGTGGAAAATGGCATTCAACACCCCTGAGTATCAAGTTATGCCCTTTGGACTCGCTAATTCTCCAGCTGTTTTTCAGGCCCTAATCAATGATGTCCTTCATGACATGTTAAACCAGTTTGTGTTCGTCTATCTAGATGACATTCTGATTTTCTCGGGATCCTTGCAAGAACACACAAAGCATGTTAAAGTCCTCCAACGCCTCCTGGATAACCACTTGTACATTAAGCCAGAGAAATGTGAATTCCATTTGTCTGAGGTGCAGTTCCTGGGATTCATTATTACCCCAGTTATCATCCAGATGGATTCAAGAAAAGTCCAGGCTGTCACCAATTGGCCTACCCCCACCAATTTGAAGGAGGTTCAACGTTTTTTGGGATTTGCACATTTCTATCACAAGTTTGAATGGAACTTTAGTGCAGTAGCAGCTCCTCTCTCAGCCCTCACCAAAGGGAAAACCTCTAAATTCCTGTGGAACTCTGAGCCCGAGGAGGCCTTCAAGGAAGTAAAGCGCCATTTCACCACTGTTCCTATTCTGACTCTCGCTGATCCTGAAAAGCCGTTTGTAGTGGAGGTTGATGCCTCGGATGTGGGAGTGGGAGCCATTCTCTCACAGTGAGGGGTGGACAAAAAGCTTCACCCTTGTGCCTTCCTGTCACATCGATTAACACCTGCTGAAAGAAATTATGTTGTGGGGGATTGAGAACTGTTGGCGGTCAAACTAACACTAGAAGTGTGGAGGCACTGGCTTGAAGGGTCACAACACCAGTTCTTAGTCCTCACAGATCACAAGAATTTGGAATATATCCAACAGGTTAAGCAACTCAATCCTTGCCAGGCTCGATAGTCATCGCTTTTCAACCGTTTATTTCACTTCGTCCTATCGTCCAGGATCCAAGAATTTGGAACCAGACTCCCTGTCTCAAGTTCTCACCCACTGGTCAAGAGGAGCCAGTAGGTCTCATCATTCCTAGCTCTAAGATGGTGGCTCCACACAAGTTTTTAATACTTGGGGAAGAGACTGCAACATGTTCTCTTTGCTGAATACCTTTATCCATTAAGCATGTTTCATTAGATTGAGCTGGTTTTAACTCTTTGAGAATATATTTTTTTAATTCAGTTAACTCTTTTGAAGATATTTTTAACAGAGTTAAGCCAAATATAGTTTTGGAATTTCTAGCAAAAATAATTTATAAAAACATTATATAATACAGCCTTAATATTTCTCGCCATGAAAATAGCCACAGAAGCTGGATTGGTGTTAAACACAAACAAACAAACAAGGTGGTGGCTCCAGTTAGATGGGAAATTGAAGGGGGACCAGCTAATTGTCTATTTGTCCCAAGCACATTCTGTTCCCAGGATCTCAAATGGGTCTTGTGTAGTTTTTGGACTTGCATTTTCATCAAATTAAAGATCTGAAAACATTCCCTCAGAACTGTGATCTGGTTATCTGCATTTGGGTCCACCTCTTTTGATTGTTTTCATACTAGTCCTGTCCACACATTTCTGACAGAAACACTGAGCCAGACATAGACCCAGCAGATCCGTACCATGCCCAGGACCTTCGTGGGGCAGTTGCTCATCAGGAGGCCGCCTTAGCCCAACATGAGGCCTTTGGGCCATGGAGAAATCATTCACCAAACACTTCCACTACGTCTCTCCATTCTTCAACACCAAGAGTAGATATCTTTCCATCTCATCCAGTCTCCTGCATTCCCTGTAATCTTGGGCTTCCTGTGGCTTCTCCTCAACCTCTCTCGAGTGCCCCCGTGTATCATCCTTACAAGGAGGTCACCACATTACCACTTCATCGGCCATATGATTGTGCCATCTATCTGCTTCCAGGCAATATTCCCCCAAGAGGCCATATTTTTTCATTGTCTCCTCCAGAGCGGGCAGCAATCACCAGTTATATTGAGAAAGCCCTCGCTACAGGGTTCATCCAGGCCTCAACCTCCCCTGCTGGGGCGGGGGGTTTCTTAGTGGGCAAAAAAATGGTGGCCTTCGCCCATGCATTTATTACAGAGGCCTAAACAAAAATCACAGTTCGAAACCGCTACCCTCTACCCCTCACGTCCTCTGTCTTTGAGTTGCTTCAAGGAGCCTCAATTTTTACCAAACTTGACCTCTGCAACGCAAATCATCTGGTGCACATAAGGCAAGGGGATGAGTGGAAAATGGCATTCAACACCCCTGAGTATCAAGTTATGCCCTTTGGACTCGCTAATTCTCCAGCTGTTTTTCAGGCCCTAATCAATGATGTCCTTCATGACATGTTAAACCAGTTTGTGTTCGTCTATCTAGATGACATTCTGATTTTCTCGGGATCCTTGCAAGAACACACAAAGCATGTTAAAGTCCTCCAACGCCTCCTGGATAACCACTTGTACATTAAGCCAGAGAAATGTGAATTCCATTTGTCTGAGGTGCAGTTCCTGGGATTCATTATTACCCCAGTTATCATCCAGATGGATTCAAGAAAAGTCCAGGCTGTCACCAATTGGCCTACCCCCACCAATTTGAAGGAGGTTCAACGTTTTTTGGGATTTGCACATTTCTATCACAAGTTTGAATGGAACTTTAGTGCAGTAGCAGCTCCTCTCTCAGCCCTCACCAAAGGGAAAACCTCTAAATTCCTGTGGAACTCTGAGCCCGAGGAGGCCTTCAAGGAAGTAAAGCGCCATTTCACCACTGTTCCTATTCTGACTCTCGCTGATCCTGAAAAGCCGTTTGTAGTGGAGGTTGATGCCTCGGATGTGGGAGTGGGAGCCATTCTCTCACAGTGAGGGGTGGACAAAAAGCTTCACCCTTGTGCCTTCCTGTCACATCGATTAACACCTGCTGAAAGAAATTATGTTGTGGGGGATTGAGAACTGTTGGCGGTCAAACTAACACTAGAAGTGTGGAGGCACTGGCTTGAAGGGTCACAACACCAGTTCTTAGTCCTCACAGATCACAAGAATTTGGAATATATCCAACAGGTTAAGCAACTCAATCCTTGCCAGGCTCGATAGTCATCGTTTTTCAACCGTTTATTTCACTTCGTCCTATCGTCCAGGATCCAAGAATTTGGAACCAGACTCCCTGTCTCAAGTTTTCTCACCCACTGGTCAAGAGGAGCCAGTAGGGCTCATCATTCCTAGCTCTAAGATGGTGGCTCCACACAAGTTTTTAATACTTGGGGAAGAGACTGCAACATGTTCTCTTTGCTGAATACCTTTATCCATTAAGCATGTTTCATTAGATTGAGCTGGTTTTAACTCTTTGAGAATATATTTTTTTAATTCAGTTAACTCTTTTGAAGATATTTTTAACAGAGTTAAGCCAAATATAGTTTTGGAATTTCTAGCAAAAATAATTTATAAAAACATTATATAATACAGCCTTAATATTTCTCGCCATGAAAATAGCCACAGAAGCTGGATTGGTGTTAAACACAAACAAACAAACAAGGTGGTGGCTCCAGTTAGATGGGAAATTGAAGGGGGACCAGCTAATTGTCTATTTGTCCCAAGCACATTCTGTTCCCAGGATCTCAAATGGGGTCACAGCTCTCACCTTACCTGCCATCCCGGTGCTACTCGAACCCTTGATTTCCTTCTAAGAAAGTTTTGGTCGTCTTCAATTAAAGAAGATGCTCAGGCAATTGTGGCTGCATGCCCAACTTGCAACCAGGGGAAAGTACTCCATCAATCCCCTTAACGATTGCTACAGTCCCTCCTCATTCCCCAACAGCCATGGTTGCACCTCTCAATGGACTTCATTACTGGACTCCCACCATCCCAAGGTAAAACCACTATTCTAGTAATAGTCGACTGATTATCAAAGGCTTGCACATTTATCCCTTTGCCCAAGTTACCTTCTGCCAAGGAAACTGCTGAAATTGTCATTGAGCATGTGTTTCGGAAAATTGTGGAAGGACCACAATTTTCATCCCACTTCTGGCATGCCTTCTGTCGCCTGCTGGGGACAATGGTGAGTCTGTCCTACGGTTTCCACCCAGAGTCTAATGGACAAACTGAGAGACTGAACCAGGACCTAGAAACCACTCTGAGGTTCATGACAGCTAACAACCTGATATCCTGGGCATCTTTTGTCATTTGGGCAGAGTATGCTCATAACACTCTGCATTCCTCAGCAATCAGCATGTCTCCCTATGAGTGCCAGTTTGGGTTTAAACCCCCATTGTTCCCTGACCAAGAGGCAGAGGTTGGGGTTCCATCAGCTCTACACTTCGTTCGATGCTGCCGCCTAAACTGGAGGAAGGCTAGGCTCAAGCTTCTGCAGGTCTCTCAGCAGTATCAATGCCAGGTCAATCATCATCGCTCTCATCATTGCTCTCTACTAAGAATCTGCCTGCTTGTGGAGTCCCGCAAGCTGACTAAACGTTTCATCAGTCCTTCCCATATTTTAAGGAAAGTAAATCCAATTACCAACCGATTGTTCTTGTCTACATCACTAAAAAAATAATCCTACCTTCAATGTGTCTTTACTAAAACCTGCCGTTTCTTCTCCTTTCCAGTCAGACCTCCCCCTCCTTCTCGGATCACTGGAGTCCAGCCTGCTTACACGGTCCATTGGATACTGGACTCTCGTCACATATGGAGATCCCTTCAGTACCTGGTGGACTGGGAAGGCTGTGGCCCAGAGGAATGCTCCTGGGTCCCTTCCTGGGACATCCTTGACCCTGAATCGGGGGTCCTGTCAGGGTGGTGGACATATCTGGCCACTAGAGGCCCCCACTGCCTTTTTGTTGGGTTTCAGTCTCTGTCATTGTCTAATTGTTGTCACCTGTTCCTTGTTTCTGGTTGTGTATTTAAGCCACCCTTCTCCTGAGTACTTTGCTCCGTGTTTCCCGTGCCATGACCAAGTCTAGGTCATTCTCATGCCCTGCTTAGATTTATCCTTAAACAACTTTGTGCATCTGGTATAGTTCCTTTGTTTTGAATTTTTGACATGTGCTCTTTGAAACTGTTTGGAGTCACTCACAGATATTCTTTGTGAATTTGTTTGAATGCCTTTTGGATTTACTTTGTGGACCTATGGTAATTAATTTTTGGAAGCGTTGACATTTCTTTTGTTTTTAAATGGACTCCTGAGAACTTTTTGAATGCCTTCTGGATTTACTTTGTGGACCTATGGGAATTACTTTTTGGAAGCATCGACATTTCTTTTGTTTTTGAATGGATTCCTGTGAACTTTTTGTATGCCTTCTGGATTAACTTTGTGGACTTTTCGGATTTACTTTTTGATACTCATGTCAAACCTTTTTGCACTATTGGAACGTTTTGAGCTGACTTTCTGGATTTATCTTGTGGAGATTTTGGCCTTGCATTTTCATCAAATTTAAAGATATGAAGACATTCCCCCAGAACTGTGATCTGGTTATCTCAACCTTTTCGGCCCCCTGTTGTCCAACACAATACTCAAAGGCTCACAGATATAAGCTATTTTCAATATTTCTGCTGTAATTATGACAAAGCTATTTCTTTTTCAAACTTTCTTATTAACAGAAACTTGGCATATTTATATATTAAATTAATTAAACAATTCATTTTTTTTCTGAATGTAAAAACTGTTTAAAATCTGCTTCAATTAAAAGCATTTTCTGAAGAGATTATTATATTATAGAAATAATTATTAGAATTAGTTTTTAGGTTACAGCTTGACTTTACTTTTTTTAGCATTTTAATTTATTATATTTTTATTCTTTTAATATACGAATAGTATTTTTTTATTTATTTAAATACTTTTTAGTCACCTTGAGACCAACTTGGAAATTTGCTGGGGTCGTCTAGAGGGTCCTCTAGCCTCCTGGTTAAGAACCACTGTTTTAGAGTCACATCAATTTGCAGGACAGTTTGGAAGGCTAATTCACTATGGGAATGTCCTTTATGGGAAGGGTTTTTAGAATGATTTCAGTTCTGAGGGGGAAAAAAGTCTAAGGTAAAGACTGATTTTGCGGTTTTGTTCTACAACAAGTGTACAGTCAAAACATCAAACATGAATTGTGACCTTTAAAAACTTAAGTGGCTAACAAGTTGCTATTTAAGTACATAGCTCACATTTTTGTGCTAGTTGTAGCCATGATGTACAGTAGCAACTTGTCAGCAACAGGCTAACAACAACAACAAAAAAACACTCTTCTAAAATATCGGAGGAAGTTCCAGAGGGAATAGTTCTCTTCTGAACAGATATTTTAGTCACCTCCAAACCATTCCAACTAACTAATTATATACACTACAGTTCAAATGTTTGGGGTCAGTAGGACTATTTTTTTTAAATAATTCCTTAATAGCAAGGGTGCATACATTGATCAAAACGATAGTAGTGACATTTAGAATGTTACAAAATATTCAAATTTCACAGCACAACTTTTTTCAACATTGATAATAAGAATTTTTTCTTGAGCAGCAAGTCACCATACACTAAGACAGGAAATTCAGCTTTCCCATCACAGGAATAAATTACATTTTAAAATATATTACAACATAAAGCAGATATTTTAAATTATTTCACAATACTGCTGTTTTTACGGTATTTTTGATCAAATAAAGTGCAGCTTTGGTGTCCATAAAATATGTCTTGCAAAAACTTTAAAAATAGATCATAAATCTATAGAACAGTAGTATATTAAAGTGTCAAACTCACCATTTTATCCATCTGATATTGGATTTGAAACACCTTTGCACAGGCTTGAAAAGCCTCCTTATGCTGTCACCCTTGAACTTATTCACCAATTCACACACGATGATAAACACGCACAGACAAGTGAGGACAACCAAAGCAACTGCCCTCTGGAAGTTTAAATAACATGCAGCAATGAAGTATGCCAAATAACCTACAATTTAAAACACAGAAACATACTGAACATCATTTACTTGAGAAGTGACTCACCATATCAACACGTTAAATTAAAAACAATTATAGATATAAAACTGGGAAGAGATGTTACCTGCAGCAAGTATTCCCAAAGCAATGTATTTGATTATTTTGGAGTGTGTCTTGCAGAAGGTCTCTGTGGCCGTGATGGGTATGCATGCTTTGCTATGGTGAACAATGAATACATAGCTAAAGATCTTGCACATGTGAAATCCTACAGCATGATTGACAGAATTGTGATTAACAGAATCGAAACATTTACATTTTTGTCTATATTTCTTAATTAGGATGACATTATGTTATTTCAAAGGAATCTCATTTCCAAATAATGTGACAATGAAATCTGAATGACGTCGTATTTACAGATTAGATTCACAACCACACCTTAGACATGATTTTGACTCCTTCTCGGACTCCTCTTTGTCACTGTCACTCAGGTCATCTGTTAATTTATCGTCCTAAGAACAGAAAAAAAAATCAAGATTTTAAACTTGTAAGCATTTTATAGAGCAGTGGTTCCCAACCCTGGTCCTGGAGGCACCCCAACACTGCACATTTTGCATGTCTCCTTTCTCTGACACACCAGTTTCAGGTCTTGAAGTCTCTACTAATGAGCTGATGACCTGAATCAGGTGTGTTTGATTAAGGAGACATGCAAACCGTGCAGTGTTGGGGTGCCTCCAGGACCAGGGTTGGGAACCACTGTTATAGAGCACTTCCTCAAGCCTATATACCTTCACAAATGCTGGATTGTCCACACCTTGCTCATTCCCATACGAGAGGGTTGTCAACTGTAAATCTTCTTTGTCTGCTGTAAAGAAAGTTTCAGAAAACTTTTTACCAGCTCTAATGAACCTTGATCCAACAATTCCTTAGGAGCTAAAAGTTTCAAAACACGTCCGTTTTCACTTTTCATCCAAACAATCATTAACTACTACCCACAAATACAAAACCAACATCCTTTATTCAAACCGTGGCACACAAAAAAACACCTGTTCAAATACCAGTTTGAATAAATCTCTAAAGAATTGAGAGATAAATAAATGGCTTACTCATCCTGCGTTCTCTGTGACAACTGCTGGGTCTTGAACCGTGAGCCGGGATATATACTCTGCCCACTTGGAAATCTTATCATTAATTAACTATACTAATGTGTTTTTATTTAAGACACTTGCACGTTGCTATCAGATTACTAGACTACACTGAGTAGTCATGAAACAGCGTCTTTTTATAATTTATTGCAATGAAGCTCCTCCTTATTTCCAGAGGAAACAAAATACAAAGTGTAGAAGAAAACAAACTATCAGGAATAAAAATTGAAACGTGATGAAGGGCCTACAATTCTATGGCCGTCCCAGAGGCAGAGTCACACGCTGAACAGGTGCCTGAGAGGAGGGGCCAGTATTATCATCATTCATACTATCCATATGATAAGACAATGAGAGCTCAACGGCCAATCAAAACTAGCCCAAATCGAGCCTGATGACCAATTAAACCCTGATAGCTGATATAAAAACACAATATAGACCTGTCCTTTTAAATTATTTTCATATTTCCTACAATTAGTAGGTGTAGTTTAATGAAGGCAACAATAGGGTCATGGTTTGGATTCAGAGGACACGATTTTTATCAGTGGGCCCCGTCCTCGTTCTTATCTACAATATCTACAGTATATCATAGAAGACTTTAATGACACCTGGTCACAGAAAAGCAAAGTTACATGTATAATGTAACACAAAATACATTATTTAAAACAAAATTAGTGTACAAAAACTACCAGCCTTACACAATTAGGACGCTAGATGCCACTGTTGCACATTGTAGAGATTGATGCAGTTTTATGCCTGAATTCAGAACACAACACTAATAAAACACATTGGCACTGGCAGCAATCTGAGCAGATGCTACTCCTATTAATATATGGAGAATTATCAATCTCCATTTATATAATCCTATATAACCTTTTTTTCAGAATTTACTAGTATACTTGAATGCATGATTTTACTGCAAGTTATGGTATTGTCCTTGTAAAGGCTACTATATGACAATGCACAATATCCAGCTTTAGATACATTTGATTTGATTTGATTTTCAAAATGATGTAAAATGTAGAGCCTGTCTGACCCTAAACTGAAGTTTTATGATGGTATCTCCACAGTATGTGGAATCTATGACTGATGACTCATAAAATTAAATGGTGCCTAATACCTTTTAGTTAACACAAGATGACGCAGACTGGCAGCTTAATAGACCGCAGTGTGCATCACTGCATTTTATTGAAGGTCTAGTGTGTACAAAACACATTAACAGATATTCATTAAGACATTTTATGTGCTTTGTTAGAGCAAGCAGTCATGATTCACTAATATCAACCAAGCCTTTCCTGCACATTTTATGTGTCCACTTCACAAACTGAATGTTGTGATTTCACTTTGTGCATAATCATTCCTGGACATATCTCGTCAAAGTAAAGGTTTTTATTGGCATCTATGGTTCAGTGAACTTTCCAGTGTACAAAAGATTCTTCAGATTAAAATCATCTAGGCTACAAAAAAAAAAAAAACTTTATCTTATAGTTCTAATATGAAGTTAGTGTATTTTAAAAAATCATGATAATTTGTTATCATTTTGACCTCTGTTTCTACTGTCTCAAAGGCAAGGGAATTCATCTAGTTCTCTCTCTCTCTCTCTCTATGCATGTGATTGCACAATATGTAGGCCTATTTGATCATGTTGAAAAGACTGTTTTATGAAAATGTTTTAAAAGAAATAGTATGTGAAAAGTTAAGGTCAGTGTTAGGAGTTTATCTACATTTTGTGGAGACTACATATTTAACAGTGGAACAGTCACGAAGAATCACAGAAGTATTTGATGAACTAGAAGAGTCCATCTGTATTTGGACATTGATATAAATTGATAACTTGAAACCATTTCCGAAATCAATTATTTGCGTAATTTGACTGTTCAAGCTTTTATCGTCAATATTAGGCTACGTATTCTCAAAGGAATTAGTGTTTTTGATAATTCCAGTGATTATCTAGGGTAATAAATGCATGCGTTATCAGCACAAGTTAACCCCAATCCTACCTGGTCATTCCTGGGATTCGGTAATATTTCAGCCCCCCAGTTTCTAAAGTTAATTGTTAAGCTTTTCACACAAAAAAAGCATAAAATAATGTCTTATATCTATCCTAAACCAAGCATTTTGTCATGTCCCTGAGGCACTTCACTGAGTTTGTACTTAGAAAATTATTAACAAAATGTGCGTAGTGTCTGTGATCTTTGGCAACAATGTAAGCATTTATGTGTGTTCCTTTCTAGTAAAAAAAAAAAAAAAAAAAGCAAAATATTTAATAAAAACCAAGTTATGTCCCTTAGTCTGAATTCAACCCTGTCACACTAACCATTCTACGTCCATAATAATTTAGACTCCACTCATATGTGACATCATTTCCCAGAAATGATATCATTCAGGTCTCTTTAATAGTGGTGCAGAAAATGGTTAGTAGTATCATACTTTTTTATTCATATTTTCGAGGCACGTTATAGTCAGGGAGGGTACTGTCAAGCTTAACAACTCAACCCTGTCACATAAAATTAAGATGGAAAATGATTACTTTTTCAACATTTTATTTTAATCCATAAGTATATACAATGTACTTATTTTATTGCTGCCATATATGGTCTACTCTCCTACACTACATGAGGAGCAGTGGTAAAACCACAACCCCGTCACAAATATATGTATTTCTCATTGTTACGGGGTTGTAAACTTGTGACAGGGTTGAGTTATAATATAATAATTTTAATGAAAAAATATAAAATGGTTTCAGTAAATATATATACTCCAAATTCATGACAAGTCAGATTTTTGTTTTAAATAGAATTTTTGATGCAATATGTCCACTTAAACGTTGACAAGCATCATACATAAGAAATTGCACCCAGATTTGCAGCAGAAAGACAATGTTGGCCATGCAGATATGTTGACCCAGAAACAAGAGGACAATATCAGAGAGAAACAAAACCAAATATTTGAATTTAAGGCAATGTATCCCTTCAAATGTGTTACAGTCTTCAACCCCATCACACCTGGTCACATTAATATTTTTAGAAAAATATAGGGAAGACAATTAAGAACAAAATAATTTCTTGCTGATTACTTTTTTTAAAACATTTTCATATTTCAATTAAATTTCAGGAATTATACCACAAAAAATACTCAAAATGTTTTTCCACAGATTCTTAGTATACTCACAATACCAAAATAAATGAGACAAATCTTCAGTTTGGAGACCACAGAAGGAGCAATTTACATCAAAATCCTCAGAAATAAACCTTTGTAAAAAACATTTTGTGGGATAGCTTCTTGCTGATTACTATCTGACATGTTAAGGGCCAAAACAATAAAATTGTGGTTTTAGTTAAAATTTTAAATCAAAAATATTTTTTTACTAAAATAAAGAGACCGTAGACACACAATTTGTATATTTTTAGCTTCAGTCCTATAAAAATGTGACAATTATGATAAATGTTACATTTGTTATCATTAAATTGTTATCAGGGACACGTGATCAGTAGGTACATGTTTGTTTTATAACAATTTCTGTGTAAAATCATTTTTAAACCAACCCCATTTTGTCCTTTACGGGGTTGAGAAAATGATTTTTTTGGAGGTTTGATATGTGCCTAATGATTTAGAAGTTGAATCACATGTAGTTGAAAAACATGTATATTCCAAGTTGAAATCTTACCAATGACCCACATACCTTTATCTTGGCAGTTTCTTCAGAAAGATATGTTTTCAGTGGATAGAATGCATTTCTACCCTCAAAGTCTACACGTTAGTTTAACCTTCTATCTATAGCTAATTTGAAATAAGACCACCACCACCAGTGTTATCAAAAAATTATAAATTGTGAAAAATGTCAAAATTAAGGTTAAGGTTGAGCACAAACCTTTTAAAAAAAGAGAGACTAATACAAAAAGACGATGGCCGTGACAAATTAATTTGTAATGTGCAAAGAAAATAAAACACTGTCAGTCGTACGACTTTTTCCAGAATGTAATCTGTCCCATTCATATACTGTAAACAAACACCCTTAAACACGCTATATGAAATAGGCTAGTTGCTCTTGTTGTTTGTAGAGACATCGCTATTTGTCTGTGGTTTAGCCTATGCAGCATTTTTTGCGCATCGTAGGCGCGTTTGCGTCTTCTAAATGGGCGGGGACGCCGTCCAAAATGCTGTCTATGTAGGCAGCTTCTCAGGATTTGAGCCACGGCCCTTGAGTGGAGTTGAGCGGGGTCCTCGAGAACACAGGAAGGGGAGAGAGCTGTAAGCTAGTAGACAGCGGGCAACTGTAAACAACTCACTTTTATAAACCTCACAAATCAATCATACCTTACGCTGACTTGCTCATCCATTTGCATGGCTTTTGAAAGGTTGCTTTAAAACCGTGTTTGGCTGTATACCCGCAGACTGTTCTATTATTACCGCAGGTTTGCGTTATTTACAGAGCTGCAAGCAGCTAGAGAAGCGGGCACCCGACTGTACAGCTAACGCTTCTGTCGATACGAACCGCTTTACTCTCTTCATAAATACTCTCTCATCTGTATTAACATTATAAAACATATATAAAATGACAGGTCGTGTGTAACGGGGTGAAGTAGTACTAATTTGACCGTGAGCAATGTTTTTAAAGGGGTTTGTTAGCTTGGCGAAGGTTTGTTTTCTCAGTTAGCATTTGAGCTAACGCTTGCTCTTTAACATCCTCGTACGTAAAAGCTCATAACTTTTGATAAATGCCATTTTTTATTTACGCAACGCCTGTAAAAGGGTGTTTTATCGGCCTAAAACAAATTCTCCGAGTATTTTCATGTTAAACTAATTTAGGCGAGGGTGACAGGCTATCTTAACTATACCAATGTACATTTGACTGGCTAAAAAATAAAACAGGAGTGTAGTTGCCATATACAGTATTGTAATGTTAAAATACTTAGAATGGAGTCAAAGTTGACACAAACAAGTCTTTGAGCTGGCTGGACCAGTACTATGGAAGTTCCTGGAAATGTCAGTGCAATACAGATGAAGGAGCACAACAGCAAAACTGATGGATACCAAAATCTGCTGAGATGAATTAACCAGGAATCAAATGGTGATTACTGTTAAAT